TAGGTACGTACGTGCATTTTACAATATTCCGGTGTGGAAATTCTATTTTTTGAATAATTTATGTGGAAAAAAAAATCAATTTTATATATACTCATTCTATAATCTTAATTTTATTACTAAATAATGATAAAGTTGTTAAAGTAAAATTTTTCAGTACTTAACAGATTGATCTATTGTTTTTACAAGTTAGTTCTTAGAGAATATTTCAGTAATATGAGTATTACAAGTTTTCCTGCAGAAGGTAATATCATTTCATGACCCAGTATTGGCTCAGTTTGATGGGACAGTCTAAATACTTTTCGACAATGACATACTGTCTGGATTCTGACAATTAGCCTTGCAAGACAAGGAGAAATTGGCATTTTTCAGTCTCGATGGTTGCTATCAGTGGAATCAAATTTCAATGGGCCTTTGCAGATCCCTGGCATCCTGACAACGAGCAGCTGACTTTATCCTTTGCCTAAAGGGAAAAAACTTGTCTTGTGTACATGGACAATATCTTGATCTTTAGTCCTGATTTCCAGAGTCATCTGACACAATTAGAACAAATCTTTAAATGCCTCGTGAAGGCTGGCTTAAAATTAAAACCAAAAAAAAATGCAACACCAAATAAAATTTTTGGGGCACAATGTTTCCGATGAAGAGACGAGGCCAGATCTCAAAAAATAAAATGTGTATTGAACTTCCCCAAGCCAACAAATGAACACGATATTAAATTGTTCTTAGGACTAACTAGATATTACTGGCAACACATCAAATGTTATGCAAATATCACGAAACCCTTAACTAACCTATTGAAAAGCTACACCAAATTCTAGTGGGGAGAAGAGCAAGAACGTAGCTTTGAGAGACTGAAGGAGATAGTTACTTCAGCTCTGCTTTTGAAGTCTCCTGACTTTTCTAAACCTTTTATTTTAGCTATGGATGCGTCCAAAAAGCTATAGGTGCAATCTTATTGCAAGAAGATGATAGAGGGAAAATGCCAATTGCTTATGTGAGTTGAATACTACGGAAACCTGAAAAAAATTATAGCACTACTGAGCAGGGGTACTTAGCGGTAGTTTGGGCCACCAAATATTTTAAACTATACTTATACGGGAGGAAATTTACTATATCAATTAGGTTGAGTTTGGTCAACTTAACAATACAGCGATAGGTTCTTCTCATTGAGAATTCTTGGATACCTTCAGTCATAACTTCTTCCGCACTTCGTTCATGCATTTATCAGTTAATTGTTGCCAAGCAAAGCCGATATTGCCTATGGCATCTGTGATGTTATATTTTTTCCAAAATTGCACCAAACAAACATATATATAAAGAAAGTACACCTTTTTGCCACCTTTCTCTGATTGTTTCATGTTCATAAATACAAGTCGACCCCCCTATAACACTGTTGATAATTCCGTTTTATATGAATTTCATGTTGTACGAGTCACTTAGATTTTACAAATACAGTAGACCCCTCTATAACACTGTACATAATTCCGTGTTATATGAATTTCATGTTGTACGAGTCACTTAGATTTTACAAATACATGTGCCGGGATGTGAACAGCTCATGTATTTGTAAAATCTAAGTGACTCGTACAACATGGAATTCACATAAAATGAAATTATCAACAGTGTTATAGGGGGGTCGACTGTAAATGAAATGCCATGATAATTTAAATTGCCGTAAATTTGGAGCTTTTTTTAGACTCCAAGCAGATCGCGTTATATCGAATCAGTGTTAAGCGGGGTCTTACTGTAGTTGACTTACACTGTTGTAAGTCAACTACCTGTATTCCTGTTTAAATATTGATTCTGGCAATACATCGGAAAAAAATTGCTGTTATAAATAATGAAAATTGAATTCATAAACTTTCTTTAAAAATAATGGTAAAATTAAATTAAACTAATGGCTTTATATTAAGAAAATTCACTCTTCAGTAGACCATTTTTGGATATAAAATAGTGATATTAAGTGTATTTTAATATTTCAGGTAAGAATTTTTAAATTATATTTAGTTTTGTTAAATGGCAAGTTAGCAAAACAATATAAATGTTGTGAAGCAGGTAAAATCTGGCAGATCTATTTTTTCCTCTTCATTTAAAATAACTTTTCTTCTAATTTTGCATTTTATTTTGTCTAAAATATTTTAAATGTTAAAAGGAATTAAAAGTTTGTTGCTAGTGATGCTGATTTGAACTGATATGACCCTTGAGATAGGTAGCTAAAAATATCTATTAATAGTGCTTAAGGTGCCATGTCAAGTTAGAATGACTTCTTATTGTTGAGTTGACCTGCAAATGTAAGTGGCAACATAATAAAAATAGATTTAAAAAAATGCTCTTAGAATTTAGAAAATAAGATACAATCATTATCTTTGGTTTATTTATCTGTTTCAAAAATTAGTATTTACTGTGAATTTTTCTTTTTAATAAAAAATTGATTGATTAATGCTTCCATTTTGTTTCAAAAGCAATATTTTATAAATATTTTTTAGGGTTTTTGGTGATTTTATAATTGTCCCATGTTTTTTGAATTTCAAATTTGTATATTTGTCATTCTTAAAGAAATGAAAAAAATCAAAAACGAAAAATGTTTAACATATTAACTGCCACCTGTAATATGATATTTTGTTTATTTATGGGTCACAATGAAAAAAATCGGATATTTAATATTTTATTATAATTTTAAATAGAAGGATAATTATATAACAATCAGTAGAGTGAAGTTAAAAAAAAATATATGAATGGCTACTAGACATCAGATGGCCTAGAGAGAAATAACATTAACTGTAGGCCATAAGATGAGGGGCTATTTATTTTACAATCCACTGTAATTACACCTGCTCATTTAATTACATGTTTTTACAGCAGGTGTCAAGACACCTGCAGGTTAAAGTACCTGTGACTCAGTAAACAATAGGTCAAGGTCGAATTACATACTTGCTGTATTTTCTTTTGCAATATTACTTACTTTAGTAAAATAAAAGAATTAAACTAGTCATCAATATGTTTTTCCCCTTTTTTAAACTATTTACTATTAAAAAAAACACTATCAAATGTAAAATAGTTTTTTATTAAAAAACCCCCTATGACATTTTTGATAATTTTAGCTATCGTCATCAGGTTAAATATGTTTTTTAAAAAAATGCAGGTGAATTGAACATCATAATTTAAAGGAAGAGTTATTATCTGATCGGTTGATGTTAACACTCCAGTATTAAATGCTACATGTAGAACAATCAATCAGATGACAACTCTTTTTTAAAATTATTATATTCAATTCACCTTCATTCTTTTTCAAACTTATTGAAAACATTTTTTTTATCATTAAATATTTTTCATTTTGCTGGATTTTTTTCCCTTTAATATTATTATTCAGTTTCTGATTGTTTTTTTTTTTTTCCTAAATTTTGTGTGTTGTGTGATAGTATGGTCATAAGTCAAAGTGAGGAATTCATATCCAGATTTTTCAGTCTATTGTTAATAGAAATTCAGGTTTAAATCTAAATTCCTCTGGCATTAAGCTGTGAGGATAAGAATTGGATCCAAATGGTCTGGCTTCTGATTCAAATGTAACCAAGGATTTGGATTTTTTCAAATACAGTAGAGCATCGATTATCCGACTCAGTTGGAGACTCAGGTTGGTTGGATAACCGAAAAGAATGAAAAAAACACATTATTAGTATATTAGTATATCCCATGTAATTAGTATATTAGTATATTGCTATTAACCAACTTTGCATTGAATTTTCATCAATGTTAACAAATTTTTTTTAAATAATAATTGTCGCTATTATATTGTATTAAAAATTATTTTAAAATTATTTTATTGCTCACAAAACAAACAACCACTCATAATTAGAAAAATTAAGTTTTGTTTAAATACTGGCCGCCCTTCAATGGTTGAGCCAATGTTGCCAGATAAAACACGCAAAAAATTAAAAAAAAATAATATTAAAGTAGCCAAGACATAGCCAAATATTGTAGTGCCACATCACTAGTGGACATTTGAAATTTGCCGACTAGAATGGTCGGTTAACCGATGTGAAGGTTAATCGGGGGTAGGATAGTCGATGCTCTACTGTACTATGAATTAAGGCAGAATTTTCATTCCCCGTCTGTATTGGATAATGACATTCTAGTCCACCCAAGCATAATTGAAGCTATGGATATAGTTCATTATGTATAATGTTTTTCTACTATGCATATGTAGCTAGAACTATTTCTAAGATTATCAGCACAAAACCTTTCTCACTAATTTCTAGCCTTATTAACTGGAGTACAAATGTTTTCGGCCTTCTTAATAGGCCTTCCTCGGGTACACTGCGGAGCGTCGGTTAGAAGAAGTTTAAATGCTGCCAATGTTTACCCAGGTATCGTCTTACCAGTGACGTCATCGTCGATGATAGGTATACGATACCGAGGGCGAAAAATACATACTTTTGGTAAAGAAGGGAGGTGTGCAGATAGGATACTTGCTAAAGTTGGGGAAAAGATTTTAGAGTAAGCGCGCTACGTACAGGAGATGCACAATCACAACAGGGGGTTAGTGGGGAGTGACGTCATAGTTGAGGCCGTAAATATTCAACGCTACAGTAAGAAGGGGCGTGCGAACGACCGTGGATGGGAAGGGGGTTATGATTAGAAGGGGATGGGAAGGGGGTTACGATCGTATACCTATCATCGACGATGACGTCACTGGTAAGACGATACCTGGGTAAACATTGGCAGCATTTAAACTTCTAACTGACGCTCCGCAGTGTACCCGAGGAAGACCTATTAAGAAGGCCGAAACGTTTGTACTCCAGTTAATAAGGCTAGAAATTAGTGAGAAAGGTTTTGTGCTGATAATCTTATAATGTTTTTCATTTATAAGTTAATTCCTAACTCTTATTCTGAATTTTTTAATAATCATAACTTATAAATTTATAGATCTGTATGGAAAATATTTTAGTTTATACTTGATTAATTTTTTAAATTTTTAATAAGCTACATAAGAGTAATTTAATACTTTGCATTATGTAAATTGTTATTAAAATGATTCTTTTTAGTGTTTTAGAGATTGTCATGCCAGAAATAGGCAGTACTGTAATAGATGATATAGAAGATCTGGTGCAGAGTTCTGAAACAATAAACAGGTCAAAGTCATCCAAACTGGTTGTCCGTGGCAAGAAGACAAATGGATATTGTAAGACAGAAGATAAAATTTTGGCCGATAGCATTATACCTGGTAACTAATTTTATATTTGATATTTTAAAATGATCATTTATTTTTAATATACAGTTTGTGATCGGTTAATGAACAAATCGGATAACAAGCACTTTCGTGAAAGATTTTTATGTTTGGACAACAAACACATGATTGGATAACGAACATCTTATAGAACGAACACAAGAAGAAGCGATGTAAAATAATGAATACCGATTCATTTTCCCTTGTCTTCAGACAACAGTTCGAAACTTTTTGTACTGTGGGAGACGTTGCCATTGACACTCAACCTGGTTTATACTGAGTATTCCTCCAAACTTTGAAACTCTCTCTTGTAATTCCAGCTTTTTATTTTTCTGACAGAAACAATTCTTTTATAGTATTTGCGAGACTGTCGGGCGGGCACTCATTAAGTTTTGCGTCGGTTTATATTTTCAAAAGGTGAGAGTATAATATCACAGGTAGAGAGTAGGTAGATGTCTGATGTTTGTTGTTGCTGGGCTTGAACAGGTCTACAGTAGGCTGCAGTTCAATCTTATCTAAGCAAGATACTGTATTATCGAGAAGACTCAAGCAGCTTAAGGAGTAACAAAAATCATATCTCAGAAATAAAAAACATTTAAGAGCTTGTAATGGAAACTGATTTGATGACAGAAGAACACCAAGAAACGCGGCGAGATATGTTTTCTTCTGAAAAAGAGAATTAATGTCAATATCTGCTATTAAACATTTTTTTGAAGAAGTGTGATGGTCTTAGAATGACATCCAAACCGGGTTGAGGTTATTAGGCTTAGGGATATCTACAATTACAATGCTATTAATTACTTCTGAAAAATCTTGAAGAAGAGAGAAAAGCAATTGACATTGGATAGATTCTTAACCCCCACAAACTGAAAAAACATGACTAATAAAAAGGCAAGACTGCATATATATGTATTTTTACTATTACATATAAATAAACGTAATAAATAAAAAATATAAAAATAAAATATCCAAAAAATAAAAAATATATATTTTTTGGATATTATATTTTTATATTTTAAATAAAAAATATATATTTTTTATTTTTTGGAGTCTCTGGAATGAATTAATCAAATTCCCATAAAAACCTATGGTAAATCGATAATTGGTTAACGAACTATTCAGATAACAAACAAAGTCTTGGAACAGATTATGTTCGTTAACCAATTACCCACTGTATTTTATTTCAGTTTTAAACAATTAAAAAATTATTTCATTTTTTTAATATTTCATAATTTCTGTAAAGAATTTTAAAAATATAAACATTCTATTTAAAAAGCTATTTTAAATAGTTTTATATGAATATTTTCAATATAAGTTGTTTCCTGTTAAAGTACCAAAAAATATAAAATAATTAATAGAAAGAATTACTTTTCATTGAGATTTTCCTTCTCTTAAATCTTCCTCCTCTTCTAGATCTAATTTTTTCTGAATTCTTTGATGTCCTGTCTGCTTCCCAACATTAACATTGCAATTTTATTCTGGCAAGAAACTCTGCTGTATCATCAAATACATCTTTCAGATTCTGAACCAACTTTTGGTCCAAAAGATTCAACTTTCAATTTTTAAACTTTTCTTTTGATGTATCTTCATTATGGACTTCCTTGAAAGGGATTGATTATGATCACAGACTTCCTTCTTTTTTATAATCAATAGAATCATTTATGTTGCAGATTTTCCAGCAAAACAAAAGAATTTGATGCTTTTAAACAATATTTGAAAAAAAATTTCATTGAGATACTCCTTTTTAATATAGTATTCGAGGTGGGCCCAAAAAAAACAGAACTGAGAGTGCGCTGCCATTCATAGATGTAGTAGAGAGTTCTCCCGTTACATGGGGTTAGTAGAGACCTTTACGAAATAGCTGTGCAAACGGCATCAGTTTGTAGGTTTACGTTTGAGCGTAGTGTTGTGTTTCTCTTACTGTTATTTTGTTCTGCCTGCAAAGTTCTGAGCGTCCTTCAACATCTCAAAACGATGAAAACGTTGAAAAAATTTGCCAAAAAAGTGTTAAGATGTCTGCAAGAGGATGTGCAAAGGAAACGCCTGGAACTTTGGCAAGCAGATGACTGGTTCTTTCATTACGACAACGCCCCTGCACACATGGCCTTACGAGTGACCCACTATTTGGCCTCTCGGGCCAAATAGTCATTCCTCACCCTCCGTATTCACCAGACTTAGCCCCGTGTGACTTTTTTCTGTTTCTGAGAATGAAGAAAAATCTAAAAGGGAAGCGTTTTGATGATGTGCAGGCGATAAAAACAGCTTTGCTAAGGGCACTGGATGATATCAAGGTTGAAGAGTTCCAGAGATGCTTCAAACAGTGGGGAAAAAGACTTGACAAGTGCATCGCATCTAATGGAGAGCAGAGTACTTTGAAGGTGACTGAAGAAATTTTGTAAAAAATTAATAAATAAAGTTTTTATACAAAAAAATCTGGATTGTTTTTTTTGGGGGTCCCCCACGTATATAAATATTAAAACAAAACTAGATCAACATACTCCTCTCCAGTCAGGTATATGTAAAAGTCATATTTGAATTGCATATCATATACTTCAATATAACACAGAATCTTCTCAAAATTTGTTGGAAACTTTGAAGCAGTTTATTTTAGGATTTTTCATTTTATTGAATGTAGAAGTTAGTCCAGAGAATGAGCAATAAGCAGATTTTACTGTTTATAAAAATACAGTTTCTGGATTTACCTACACTGATAACAATAACAAATGATAACATAGAGTAAATAAATAAGGATGTAATTAGTGGAAATTCTGGTCTTATTCACTCTGACTTCAAAAACATATTAAAAAATTTTAAATGTATAACTTGAAGGTTTATTAATTATTATTAATTAGTATGCAATTTATCTAGTATTGTTTCTAACATATTAATTGAAATTAGAAATATCAGAATTTAAATTAATTAAACTATTATATTGCAAAACAAATAATGATTAATGTTTAGAAATTAACAGTTAAAATAGATTGCATTTTATTAACCACATTTGAAGCTGATAGCACAAAAAGACAGTTTAGAATGCTTAGTTACTTGAAAAAAATGATAGTTATAACTGAAATTCTGATTATAATAAAAGTTTTATAAGTATATTTGAACTTATTTTTTGGGATATGTTAATTGATAATGTTAAACTGATGTCTATCAAAATATGATTACAATAAATGGAATCTAATATATATTTCATTTAATTACATACTAAATGTATTAACAAGATTCTAAATTTCTTAATACAGTTTGTGCTGTTTATTGTAATCACTTTGGTACTAGCCTATGCTGAGTGTTAACAGTAACAGAGTGGTAACATTATGCAGTGAAAGTAATTAGACCATAATTAATGAAAAGTCTAGTTTTATTGAATTAGATAACTTAAAAATATGTTGAAACAATTTAAAACGTCTAAAAATAAACTTAATTATTAACCTAAAACTTTGTTAATTATAATAATTACTCAAGTGGTTTGTCCAGTGTTATTTGTTGACTATAACGGCAGCAGTAACCTTGTGCTAATTCCGAAGGAAATGCAATGAATTGAGTGAACAGTAAGCAGTCAAGAACTAAGAATTGCTGACTATATTTTCACAATATTTCATTAATAAAATGCTCATATTCATAATGCTTTTTGAAGTGAGACACATCTCTACTGTGATACCAGGACAAAGTGTTTGCAGAGCTTTTCACATTTAATTATTTATTGGAGGATCTATACTATCTTTATCTTGAATTTCTTCAGTTTCATCAGATGATTCTCCAGAGCCTTCTTCAATTTGGCATATTTCTGATGATGATAGCATAGCAGACACTAGAAATTCCTTGTCAATTGCTAACTAATTTTTAAACTTTTCTTTTGGCATATCTTCTGTAGTGTTATTTATGATCACCTCTTCAACAGACACAACTTCATTTTCAGATTTCTGTGTCTAAATTTTAAAAAACCATCCTTTTAAAAATAATTCTCTTGCCTGATCCCATAATTTTGCCAAAACATGCAGCATGTTAAATAGGAATTTCTTTTAGCAATAGAAGTCATATTAGTTCTTCTTTGACTATCATCCAATTCTAAAATTTTTGCATATATTTTACTTCTGTAGTATGCCTTTAAATTAGATATGATTCCTTCCTTGGTCACATAGTGGAATCAGTGATGTATTTGTAGGAAGGATTATTATTTTAATAATTTTAATAGCACATTTTAACACATGAATGTTCTATACAATTGTCTACCAACAAAATGATCTTTTGTCTTTGATTTATATTCCGTTTAACTAACCAGTTGTTAAAAAATGTCAGTTGTCATCTAGGTGTGTGTATTGAATAATAATTTATTAGTAAAAGTAATTGTGACAGACTGGACCTGATGAATTTTGAGAGAAAATTTGTTTTTCGTATTTCGAAAAATTTTTCCCATTTTTATTACTGGAGAATGATCTCATCTCTCTCCCCAGAGTTGTTTCCTTTCCCAGGGACTTGTTGAATGTGTCACTGGGAACTAATAGCAAAAATTCCTGATTGGTGAAAAAAGGATAATGTGATTTGGGGGTATAAAAACGAGTGCTCAAGATCAAGGGGTATCAAGAGTTTGCGAGTGCATCAATCAAGTGCCCTGAAAAACCCAAGAGGTATCGTATCCAGGATTTCATACTCTGTGTTGGTGGACACCTTCAAACTTCCTGGATTATTTTATCCTTCCATTTTCCTTGGTTTGACTGCTGTCCTAGGAAAAAGAAAAATTAATGCCTCTCCAACCACTCCAACTGACTGAACGACTGACCGACAACAACTGACAAATGTCCGAACAAGTCAGAAAGATCTGGAATCTGCACTATTAAGTGCATTAAAGGTATATATACAAACTTGTGGTTTCTTGTAAACTCTCTCTCTCTCTCTTAACTGTTATTCGATAGCATAGAACTATGTATTCTCTTTTTTGTTGAATTAAATTAGTTATTTTAATTGTTAACCTTGTATCCATATGATTCACTTCCAATCCGTCTCTCAATCCTTCTCCGTCCTGAATTCGATTGCCCACGCACGTAACCGCTCGCACAAATTCCAATTTGCGGCCGTTAAGGTTTCTGTGTGTATTCTAGAAGGCACAGTGGTGTCAGTCCTGACAAGGCACTAAAGAAGTGCCAATCTTCTGGTCACATAAACATCTAGGATTTTTACTTTTTATAATTACTAGTAGTTTCTGGTCTTTCGTATTAACAAAGCAAAGAACAGTAATACATTTCTTCAGTGATTTAAATCCTTTAGCATTTTCATGTTTAAATATATAAGTATGATCATATTTAAAATACTAATAGACTATTGTTTTATCTGCAGTGTAGATATTCCTGAGTGAATATTTGGCATTCTGTCATTATCTACAACTCAGCTGATACAGAATCAAAACTTTTTCCTTGCCAAGAGTGCATCTATTCACAATGTTCTTTCATTTTATTCACTAGCTTAACTATTCATTAATTGCAATAAAATTTTTCTTTTCCATATTTTTAGCTAATTCTTTTGCTTTATGATACATTAATGACTTCTGTAGCTACACCAGTATTAATTACAAAACAAAACCATTACTACCATGTTTCCCCGAAAATAAGACATCCGCAGAAAATAAGACCTAGCACAGATTTTGCTGAATTGCGAAATATAAGACCTCCCCCGAAAGTAAGACCTAGCGAAGTTTTTTTTAGTGGTAACGGTCATCGACAGATGGTTGAAAGTGGTCGTTGGCTTTTTGAAAGTACAGCCACTGATTGGTCAGCAGACAATTACGCCACACAGCATGATTTGCATAAGACTATGGCTTGGGAATCACAGATTTGCATAACGTTACAGCTGGTGATGGCTAATTGGTCGGCTGGGAATCACGCCACATGACATTTGCATAGTGCTACGGTTCAGTAAGCACTAATTGGTCATCAAGTCCGATGTTGACGCTATAAAAAGGCGACAGTTCAACACACCGGACATACATCACTCTTGTCTAAGTTCGACTTGGAAATTTTTTTGTTCAATAATAAATGTGAATTCTTCTTCCTGGAAAAAATAAAGAAATTCCCTGAAAATAAGACCTAGTGCATTTTTCGGAGCAAAGATTAATATAAGACACTGTCTTATTTTCAGGGAAACACGGTATGCAGCGAATTTGTGTATTTTTATATAGTTTGTTTTTTTTTTTGTTTTTGTCACTTTTTGCAGTGTTCCATTCAACATGTATAAATCTGACACATGCATTTTTCAAATTTGTTTTATTCCAAAATTGGAAGATTGTAACCATTATAGAATAAGAAGCAGCTTTGTTCTTTTTAAATTGTAAATTTCAAATATCATCTGAAGATCAATTAAGAAGCTAAAAATGTTAGAATAATAAATATTCACTGCATAGTAAATAGTTTTGTTTTGTGGTCATTAGCGACCTATTAATGGGTATATTTTTTCACAAACATTACTAAACCAAAGCTTCAAAGCTAATTTAACTTCATTATCTTTTCCAGTTCAGTTTCTCTTGCAAATTATGTTCATTTTTTACTGACATTTTAATATTCATTATGTTTTTCAAAATCTTAAATAAAACTAGTTGTGAAATTTTTAACTGTGCAGCAGCATTGCATTGCATTGACTCATTTTTGACAACTTATCATTGCATTCTAAAATTTCAAGCTTATCTTTGCACTTTTTTTTTTTTCATTATGCTAAGAGGTACACCACAGAATTGTACTTTAATTAATGAAGATCAGTCTTTGACAACATCAAACAACTAACTTATACATAAAGTAAGAAGTGTCAGAAGTCAAGATTTAAACTACAGTACGATATATGGATTGATTGCAGGATTAATACATTTAACATATTAAGAATTAATATATGATATAATCAATTTAAATTAAATTATCCAGATTGTTGTACAAATGTTTTTATTGGAACAACATGGTTTATAACATTTATCTGTTTTGTCAATTGACCATTATTAATTGTCTAAGTAAATTCAAACTTACACTGGAAACATTATGATGATTGTAAGTGAAACTCTGATTACAAAACTAACATATATAACTAATTTATATGTTCAGCTAACTGACATCTAACTGCAAATTCCAGCACATAATAAATAAATTTAAATGTTCAGATGTTTTCAGCCATCTTTTAGAGGCTCTCGTCAGGAATGAATGCACAAAACAACATACACATTTTTTGTGTATTCATTCTTGATGAGGGCCTCTAAAAGATGGCCAAAAATATTTGAACATTTAAATTTTATTTATTTGCTGGAATTTGCATTTAGATGTCAGTTAGTTGATTATATAATTCCAGTATATAGTTTAAGTGTGTCATTTTTTATTTGATTTAATTTATATGTTTTGGTATGTGTTGATTTTGATGATGATATAATACTAATAACAATATCCACAAATATGATAAGTGACATGTGCAGTACAGTAGAGCCTCGAAAACTCGGCCTAATATGGACCAAAGGGTGGGCGAGTTTGTGAAAATGCCGGGTTATCGGGAATGGGGTTAAAAAAGGATAAGTATGCGTGTTTCCTCAGAAAATATTGTACTGTACTTGTATGTATTGTTTGCTTCAGAATACAACAGAGAATAAACTGCCCAAATACCCTTAAACAAAGGAAAAGTACGACCTTTATGAAGGCATAGAGCCTTTACTATATGAAAATGAAAATTAATGAATACACTGTGTACAGTAATTTACNTGTATTGTTTACTTGAGAATATAACAGAGAATAAACTGCCCAAATACCCTTAAACAAAGGAAAAGTACGTCCTTTATGAAGGCATAGAGCCTTTACTACATGAAAATGAAAATTAATGAATACACTGTGTACAGTAATTTACCTGATAAACAGACCATAGAAAAATACTTTATGAAGCATAAAGCTGTCTATAATTAAAATTAATTAACTAAGGATTTTTTTGCCCTGCCAGGGTGTGGCCGAGTTATCCGGAGTGCCGGGTTATTGAGGCTCTCCTGTATTACAAATAAAGCTTATTTTCCTATTTTTTGAAATTTGATGTACCTTTGTAAGTTACTTTAATAAGTACTTTTGAGCCTTTCTAGTTTATATCTAGGTGTGTAAAATAGCCAAAAACAATAAATATTAAACATACTATAGTGCCTCCCAGTAATGTAATTGTTCTTTTGGAATATTTTCTGCTTCCTATAGGCACTACTAGTCCCCTTTCAGGTGCACTTTGTGAGTTAATCCTTATGAAACTGGAAAAGCAGGTCCTAGGAACATGACATCACCCTATGTTCTAGGTATATTGTTGACCTACTAATTATTAGTCATTGTAAACCAAACATCGATATTTTTGTAATTTCTTTCAACAATAATCCTTTTGGCTGCCACTTATGCCTGGAACAGCAACATAGGCCTACAGTACTTCTGTCACCCATTTTTTAGATATCAATTTATATGTACAGGATGGCAGTATTTACACATCAGTGTCTGCAAACTCACTTACAATCCAATTTTCATCTTGTCCTCTTCATATGATTCCCTCCAATACAAGGTAGTAGCATTCAGAGCCTTGGTGAAAAGAGTATTCATGTACTCTTCTACTATCAAAGAAAGAACTCAGGAATTGCAGTACATAACTCAGCTGGCTATTCAACATGGGTATCTATCTCAATTAGTAAAAAGTTTAATAAAAAAGTGTGTGAAGAAAGATCAAAATACAAGAATGGCAGATTGTAAATTCAAGATTGTACTGTACAGTATAACAAGATCCTGATGACTATATACTGCAAAGTAGCAGGAAGCAGCACTTTCCTTCACCTATAGAAGAAATGCCACCATCTACACTTTTTTTGAAACATCGGGACCTTTACAATAAGTTGTATCTTTTGAGAATATACTCTACACCCCTTCAGGACAATAGAGATGGTCAGCATCTACAGTATATTGAGGGTACGTGTATAAAAAAATGTTTACAGGAACATCTTAATAATATGATTAATAAAAAGCAAACTACTACAGCATTAGTCACATATACCTTGGACAAAGACATGCAAGAGAACATCAACAATGCAAGTCTTATTCATCATACATAGGAGACTTCACATCTTAAGTACCTTGAAATGCTAGAAATTTACAAGGCCAGCAGAAACAACACAACCATCAACTACAAAGACAACATGCTATCCCCAGCTTTGAGAACATTATTTAAAATTTAATACTCCTTTTTACATTCCGATGTATCCACGTAACTGCCAACTTCCAATCAGACGTTCTTTTTATATTTTAAATTTTAACATTCCATTTTATGTTCTGTTTTGAATCCATTCTTTTAACCAGAAAATGGTTGCTCAAAGCATTGAAAACATTTGTTTTCCTTCACTGTTTTGTTTTATGAGCTGGAGTTTTGGTTTTTGTAAATATTTTATAATTTACTTCAGCATACAGTATGTTTATTACTTATTTAATGAATGCCCAATTGATCATATATCATAAAATTATTTAATTTTTTATATAGGTACTCAAAAGATTTATGTTAAAACATGGGGATGTGCTCACAATAATTCTGACAGTGAATACATGGCAGGACTGTTATCAAATTACGGTTATAAAATAATAGGTAAGAACATTTTCATTTAGATGTAATAATTGCTGCATGAAGTATATATTATTTCAAAATCCAAAATTTAATAATAAATCCAAAATAATAAATCCAAAATTTTTTAATATATTTTCTTTTCAACTTTTATTACTTTAATACAATAAAAAGTTGTTGAAAGAAATATAAAATGGAGGGACAATTAGTTGGGAATAAAACTGATATAAGTTAAATATAATGAGCAAAGAATCATTCTCTGGTCTTCATTACTTTGAGATTTACTTTCACTGATCCCAACTTCTGAGGAGAGATTTATGAATCTAGTAATGATTCAAGAGAGTTTTTTTACAGAACAATTACCAGTTTAAAAATAAACATAAATTTTAAAGTACAGTGGAACCTTGGTATACGACCTTAATCCGTTCCTGGTGTTTGGACTTATACTGAATAGGATGTATACCAAACCAACCTTTCCCATAAAAAGTAATGTAAAAATGATTAATCCATTCTTATGTAAAAAAAATGGCTGGCTTTAAACGCCTCACTTTCCTGGCTAGTTCCTGCTTGATTTTTTATGAGATCAGCATGTATCTTTTTAGCTTTCTCGCAAATAATTGCTTCCGATACGCTGTCGCCAGCACACTGTTTTTCAGTTATCCAAAGCAAAAGCAATTTCTCAGCATGATCTACTGTCTTTGATCTGTGTTTAGAAATTGATTTAACCCCTTTCACAATGTTAGCAGATTTAATAATCTCTATTTTTCATGATTGTCAATATCGTCGTTCTCGGAATACAGTATGCAACAGTTAAATCTTAAACATGCGTGCCACCTTCATATTTCTCAACAATCTTTTTTCAGTTCCATTGCGATTTTAGTCATTTTTTTTATTTTTCTGTTGCCTTTTTGCAGTTTATGATTAATAAAAATAATAACATTTTACTTACAAATTAAAATTAGAAGAAATTTAACAAAGTTATAAACTGTGGCACCACGAATGTCTAGTCTGGTCTAATACACCGATAGTGCTACTTGTTCATAGATGGTGCATATAATTGAATTAAGTCATATACCAAACAAAAGTCATATACCAAGCAAAATTTGTTATGTCCAAACAGGACATATTCCGAATTGGACGTATTCTAAAGCAGACGTATACCGAGGTACCACTATATATTTGCAAAAATATTAATAATAAAATTTGTTAAATAAGAAATAAAATTAAAGTAGGTGTAATAGGAAAAATATATTTAACATAAGTTAAATAAATATTTTAAATCATATTTAAAATTATTTTATTTTAAGAATCAAATCCAGGCAATACCTAAACTACAGGATGTTCCATGAAAAATTAGCCCGACTCGCTGAAAATATGCAAAGGGCACCTAATCATAAGATGCTGAAGATGGTGTTCATGTGCATTTGTGCATCTTTGTATGTGCATAATCATGTTCAGGCTGACCTTACATAAAATAACGATGTTGATAACTTCAATACATCTGCAAATAGATCGAAGCTTTCAATATCAGTTTGTTTGCAGTTCTGAGATTGGTCTCGCACATTTTTCCTTTTGAAAATCCATATAATATTTACATCACTAATATTTCTTGTCTTTCTCGGATCAATTTTAAGTGGAACATTCTGCAAAGACATCATTATTTATGGATAACTTTATAAATTTAAATACATATTAAAAAAATGTATTCTTATTCTAAGTCTTCATTGGTATACTTTTTATAAATTGAGTTTTTAAATTTATCATTTCAAATAAATTTGTTTTTAGAACTACTGTCACACAATACAGTCTTGGTTATTTGATCTAAACAAGTTCAATAAATTACTAAAAATGTTATGAATAACATAGAAACAGATAGAGAACATAAAACAATTTGCAAATTTTAAAATTTTAGCCTAGTTCTGGCAAAAACCAGAAATTCTCAGAATCTGTTAATCAGTTTCAAAATTAGTTGCTGTGACAGAGGTTGCTATCATTAAAAGTTAAAAAAGGCAAATAAACACAATGATACCAATTTCATTGTCTGTTCAAAACCAGGTTTGAAATGAATTTTCAGTTTTTGCTAAAACTGATTTGCCAAAAACTGGTTTTGTTACTAACACTATTTTACCTTATGTAATTACTCTATATTTACAGGATGAGATATTAATTAAATGGCTCTATAACTATCATGATCTTTTATCTTTTGTATTTATACATAATAATAGCTTCAACTTTTCCTGTATTCTCTTTTATCTTCTGCTAATTTGGACCACACACCAGAATGAATATAAAATTAGACTCACATCAACCTTTAACTGGTGTGTATTACAATTGAATCTTGTAAATCAAACGTTTTCTTAACTCCTTCTGGATTCTTCTTCAGGCATCTTTTGATTTTAAACTAGCCAGATCTTCTAAAACGAACACTAATATGATGGAGTGATGGAAATTTCATGTGACAAGCTCTTCTGTGCTTGCATTCTCATGTTTCTGTAAATAAGATTGAATCGGTGTCAAGTATAGTCTGCCACCCCATTGAAAGACTCATCTCATCTCTAAAATTAATTGCAAGCTTTAAAAATCTCAATCGTCTCTAACCATTTGAGGTGTCCCAGGTGTGGGGTGGTGAGGATGATTTGTGCTCTGATGAAGTCTGCCACAATGTCAGAGTCTGTCGTGTATGTGGAGAGTGCAGTGGTAGTAGTACTCCCATTATGCCATATATCCGATTTATGCTCCCGTATCCTGACCCCCACTGAACGTTTGGTGGAGCCCATGTACACCATTTCCCTATCACATCTGTTGTCTCTGATAGGGACACTATAAATGCCCACTAGTCTGTCGGGGTTAGAGGGTCTTTTCTGTTACATAGTAGGTTGAAAATGGTGTGACATCTCCTGTAGGCAATACTGATCCAACGTCTCTTGGCAATAGTGGTGTACAGTGATTTCAAATGGGGGTTAAAAGTGAGAGGGATCCTCTCCATATCCTTTTCTTGATTATCCCTCTGTATTTCTGTCAAAATGTTGGAAGCTGTCTGTGCATGTCTGTGGCATTCAGAGATTCTTTGTATAAGTTTGTTGTATCCATGCTATGTCTTCTATACGGCTTAATTCCTTGTCAGTGCTTGTGGAGTAGAAGAATGAGAGAATGCTCTTCTAATTAAGGCTTGGAAGGCTGCCATCTTGTATGGAAAGGGATCGCATGACCCAATTGGTATATAAGTGGAGATAGCACATAGTTTACAATAAACAGACAGGCATATGTCTGACCCCTCAATTCTGATATCTTTGTCTAAGAAGTGGACCCTGGTAGGGCTGTGTTGTTCTATCTCCATGTACAGCCCGTATGGATTATCGTTCATTGCATCGACAAATCAGGTCAGATTCGGTGTTGTCCTCTGAAAAATGATAATGTTGTCAATGTATCTCTTGTATAGGATGATGTCGTGGGGAAGGGTCCTGCTCTCCAGTTGCCTGACAACCAATTCACATAGGTCTCTGGAACCAAATTGCCCATGGGGACTCCTTTACTCTGTGTGTACACAACCCCATCAAATTGAAATATAGAATTATAACACATCAAGTGGGCCAATTTCAGTATGTGTTGGTGCATTGCTGAATTGTCCACTCTTGTAAAGAGGAAGTCTCTGAGAGCACAGAAGCAGGGAAGTAGCTCTATTGAGGGGTTCAAGGATCGAAAGTCCAACACTGTAATGTATTTGGGGAAGGCGATTACTTTGAGCTACTCAATTAGTTCTACTGNTTATTTTAAAAGATTCCTTTTAAACTTTAAATTTAAATAAATGTTATAGAATGTATTTTTATATGCGTTACATTAAGCTACTAATGACATATCAAACTGGTTACATAAAAAATGTAAAAATAACAACAATTATTGCAAGGATATACTAATGGAGTTAATCAAATTTGTCTGTGAACAGTTCATATATTTTTTTTGCCCTCCTAAGACAAATTCATTACTACTTGAAAATGAGGGCCTCATTTGCACAAAACTTCCAATAAAGCATACACATTTAAGTTAGCAATTGCAAACAAAGATAAGAGGAGGCAAAGCCTTCTCTACTTTCCTGAACTACCCTTTGGTTTGGCCCTATAAAAATGAAAGTACAAATTGAGTATATGGTGGTTCAACTTTAGCTTTATGGGCTACTTTTAAAACCTTTGCGGTTGACCGTGGTCTACGTGTTGGCCATCCCTGATATATTTTGCACCAAGACTTTGTCTAGTCTAGCCAAAGTCTAGGAGTTCTAGCCAGTCATTGACAAGGCTAGAGCTCCTACACATGAATTGGAGAAATCCATACATAACCTGCTTACTCCACATCTAGATGGGTATCAATTTGCCATCTCCAGCCCAGTAGAACTAATTGAGTAGCTCAAAGTAATCGCCTTCCCCAAATACATTACAGTGTTGGACTTTCGATCCTTGAACCCCTCAATAGAGCTACTTCCCTGCTTCTGTGCTCTCAGAGACTTCCTCTTTACAAGAGTGGACAATTCAGCAATGCACCAACACATACTGAAATTGGCCCACTTGATGTGTTATAATTCTATATTTCAATTTGATGGGGTTGTGTACACACAGAGTAAAGGAGTCCCCATGGGCAATTTGGTTCCAGAGACCTATGTGAATTGGTTGTCAGGCAACTGGAGAGCAGGACCCTTCCCCACGACATCATCCTATACAAGAGATACATTGACAACATTATCATTTTTCAGAGGACAACACCGAATCTGACCTGATTTGTCGATGCAATGAACGATAATCCATACGGGCTGTACATGGAGATAGAACAACACAGCCCTACCAGGGTCCACTTCTTAGACAAAGATATCAGAATTGAGGGGTCAGACATATGCCTGTCTGTTTATTGTAAACTATGTGCTATCTCCACTTATATACCAATTGGGTCATGCGATCCCTTTCCATACAAGATGGCAGCCTTCCAAGCCTTAATTAGAAGAGCATTCTCTCATTCTTCTACTCCACAAGCACTGACAAGGAATTAAGCCGTATAGAAGACATAGCATGG